GCTATTCAATAGGAGTACTTCTAGTCTAATATGACGGTATGTAGATTTTCAATTTTTCATTATTGATATTAATATGTATAACAAATAGAGATAAGAGCATCTTTAATGGTAACATGGATTGTACCCCATGAAAAATGGACATGTCATCAAAGTAGACGCTCTGTGAAGCTGATGTGGATAGACATACATTTAAAATAATATTAAAGCTCCAATGAGGTCCTCGATTCAACTCTTTCTACGTTACATCACGCCATTAAAAACTGCCGTAGGTTATTAAAATTGCCGTAGGTTATTATTTGGTCTTCTTCTCCACAGGCATAGCCTGAAGAAATTTTCCAGCAACTCAAGACATTTTATCCCTGCCGTGTCTATATAGTATATATGTCTTGCACCGTTGCAAATATACATTAAGTATGAAAGTGGAACAGGAGGTTAAATCTCTTTTTCATCTAAACTATGCAATTAATTTAACAAAATCAAAAGAACAAGATTACAGAAATAATTCGCTTCATATACTCCGTACAATTCAATCAAACGAACAAAGAATAGAAAAATACTTTAAAGACTTTGGACGAAATATAATTCGCATCTGTGTGAAACTCCTCCGAACGAGTTTTATTTATCTGGAGGAAATAATTCACTCATAATTCAATGAACGTACGGAGTTAATTCTCTAAGAAATTATTTGTTTGCTGAGTCAGAGCGTCAGAGAGGCTTGCTGAAAATCGACAGAGCAGTAGATGGCGTGTATTTTTTTTTGTTCCAGCTCAGCAGCACGCATCATATAGCTAGTTCCGTTGGAGACTGTTTTCTGCTTCTCAATTTTTTACTTACGTGGCTGTGCATTTGTAGGAATAGAAAACTCCATTAAAGATGCTCTAAGGATGACTATTTGAATTTAATACTCTCTAAGTTCCGGATTTGACTTTACTGTTTCTTAAGTAGAATAGCTGAATAGGAAATAAGGTTAGTTTTTCAAAAACACCCTTGGGTAATTTAAGATGTACTACTACTGCCCAAATGGATATAATAAAGAAGTTCATGAATAATGAAATGAAGGTAATACACATCAATTTAATGAAAGGCTAAAGGGTCAAATAGGCCTTTGAACTGACTTAAAGTGTTCAATTAGCTCCTTATATAGGAGGTTCTGCTCGGACGTCGCTAATTGATGCGGTTCCTGGTGGAATTTTTTGATGAAATTTTTTGAACATCTTCATTAAGTCTAGTTTACTGATCATACCAAATTTCAGCTAAAAATTCAACCAGGAAGGGAGTCAAATGAATTTCCGAAATGTACTGCGCTTTTTAACTTCGCAATTATCTTCAAAAAATCATTTGACTGCCTTCCCGGTTGAATTTTTAGCTGAAATTTGGTATGAGTAAACTAGACTTAATGATGAAGATGCTCAAAAAAATTGCATCAAAAAATTTCACCGGGAACTGCCCCAATTGGCGATAGCCAAGCAGATCTCCTATATAAGGGGCTAATTGAACACTTCAAGTCAGTTCAAGGGTCTATTTGACCCTTTAGCCTTAATGAAATGATGTGAGGGTAAAAAAGTAAATGAAGTTAATGCTCCGGTCTTATTATTTAACAAAGCATATGTACTTTAACAACGCATATAAAAAAAAGCTACTAGTTGTATATTAAGATAAAAACTATACATGTTTATATATAATCTTAAGTGATTATTATTTAATAATATTTACATAATGAAGTTAAATGAGTAGATATAATACTCCCTCCGTCCCGTAAAGATGTTCCCGCTATGACCTACACACATATTAAGGAAATAAACTTACCAGGGGGTAAATTTTAGGGGTGGGCATAACGGTTTGGTTTAACCGAACCGTACCAAACCGAACCGAAACCGAACTGATGGTGTGAATTTCCTATTATGTATGTTTGTATTTTTAACTAGTTTTATTAGTTCTAGTTGTGGAAATTACACACTTTTGGTGTAATTCTTTATTTTCATTAATTATTTGTAATTTATTTAGATTAGGATTAATCTGAGCTTAGGACAGGTCAAAATCATCCCAAGAATCAAAGGATGGATCCTAAAGACCAAAGAATGTGCAAAAGGGAGAAGATCAAATGAAGATTTTGATATTTGTTCAATACTCGGTCTAGTATTGCCAATACTCGGTCGAGTATTGGTCAGATACGCTGGTCAAAATCAAATCTGGAAGCAAAAGAACGTGGCTGAATATTTGATGAAAATCCTGTCATACTCGGTCGAGTATTGGCAATACGCGGTCGAGTATGCCTATTTTTCACAATTTCCTGGAAATTTCCTCTCATACTCGGTCCAATATCCCCAATATTGGATCGAGTACAGAACCCTGCCACCTCCATTTTGCTATAAATACACCTCCTTCCCTTCACATTAAAACCATCCCTTGTTCCATATACATAAGCTCAGTTTAGAAGAGTTATTTCTTATATTTTTATAGCATGTTCAGTCTCCAAATGAGGACCTAAACTTCTATTTTTTGGTTTTGCTCTTGAAGCTAGCTTGTTGATTATTGAAGTTGTGAGTTATTTTCTTAACTTCTTCTCTTGATTATTAATTCTTCCCTTAATCTCATTCTATATTAATGTTGGAGGGTTGCTAAGTGACGATTAGTTAATGTTCCGACATTAATTATCACTAGAAACGATTAACGAACCGATGGTTAATCGTTGATGGTTTCACAAGTAAGTAACTTCGGTTTATTAATGCACGGTCGTGGTTAATAAACTTAAAAGGAATTAATTTTGTTGGTTAAACTGAAACCGTTGTGTTAAGGTTATCAATCTCAATTGATTTCATCAAGAAGTTAAAAAGATTAAATGCTACTATTAAATCGGTATACGACGTTGTTCTATATTTGATTAATACTAAAGGTTGTTAATGAACGGTCGTTGTTAATAACTACCCTCGATGAATTGGATATACTCCTCGATTGAGTATTCGAGGGGGGATAAGTTATAGATATAACAATGATCGACTAAAATATATCAACAAGTGGAAAGTAGCAAGGCCAAGTCCCTTTTATTCTTGAATTAAATTTCATATAAGTCGTTCATCTTCATGCTTAATTATATTAAATCACTCAATCCCAAAACCCCCCTTTTATTTACTAGTTTTATAAAAGAGAATTACTCCTTTCTCTATGGATACGAACTCTACTTCACCTATACTATGTATAAGTGCTAGTATCGATTTATTTTGACACACTGTGATAAAGTGCTCGTCACGGACTATATGCAATTTGGTTTGAGTTTGGTACTATTTCTTTCAAACCATATTAAATCGAAGCGAACCGAAACCGATAAAAACCGAACAAAACCGAACCGAACAAAAGAAACTCAAAAAACTTTCATATATTATTAAAATTGGTGGTTTGATTTGGTTTGGGTTGAGTTTACTTAAGTAAACTGTATGGTAAACATTTGCTCAAACCGAATGGTTTGATTTAAAATAGAAAAAACGTAAACCGAACACCAAACTATACATATATATACACACAAATTCACACACATACATATATGTGTGTGTATGATTGGGATAATTTTTTTTAAAGTCTATGCAACGCTGGACGTTGAATAGCTTATTTTACTCCATGTTATTAACAGTTAAGAATCATTCACTAACATGTACGGAGTATATTTTATTAAATTAGGAAAATCAATTTTCACGTTTTTAGCATTTTATAACTTACTTTTATATACTATATTTTTTTTCTCAAACTAAATAAATTTCTAATACTAAATCTGAGTATCTGACCCATAGATCATGAAAAAATTTGTGGTTTAAAAAAAATCTCTAGTGCTATGTACTCAGGCATGTTATGAAAAAACATGTGACTTAGCTTCTAAAATATTTTCATGTCAAAGTATTACTAGTTTGTATATATAGTTTTAGCTTCTAAAACTATATATACTTTGTATTTATCTTCACTCTTCATTTTTAAGATATAAATAAATAATTTAGACATGAAAATACATATCTAAGCATATATTCGTATCATTTTAATTTTTATACATTTCATACTTTCATTATGACGAAGTTAGCTAATACGACATGCTTGTACGGAGTATTTATTATGTTTGCGATAACAATAACAAATTGCATTTATATTTTTACATGATTCATTTGAATAAAATTGTAAATATACATTTGTACCGCCGACTCTTTTAGGTTTTTTGAATATTTTATGTGATATTATAAATGCTAATCAACTATCTTATTTTTTGTAAGAAGTGAATTTTTTGTAGTGATAAAAAAGATGTTAGAAGCTTTAATTTATAATATTTTATTATTTATTTTTCTATCTTTTATTTCCTTTTACATTTTATTTAAATAATCAATAAATTAAAAAAAGATGAGATGGACTACTACTTTCATTTTCTAATTCTAAAATATAGAACTTGATCAAATAAAATAATAAACATAAGCAAACAAATCAAACCAAACTAAATTAAACATAATATTTTTACTTTGGTAAACCGAACCGAACCGAACCAAAATCAAAGCTAAACACAAATAGTTTTAGTTTGAAACAAATTCTCCCAACCTGAATAAATCGAAACCAAACCGAAATCAAAGAAAATCGAATTGCCATCCGCCCATCCAGCACCCGGCACCCCTAATAAATTTTACTGTTTTAACACTGTTTCGACACTGTTTGGCACTGGTCACACTGTTTTGCACTGTTTAATGTAAATAACTCGCCATTTAAGGAAAGGAGAACTTTTTGAGACTGCTAAAAAAGGAAAGCGAGAACTTTTCAGCGGGACAAAAGGAGTATATTATTAAATGTGGCAACTATCGTTCATACATGTTAATAAGTTTGTGTGAATTTTTATACACGCACAAACACAACATTACTAATCATATTTATGCAAAAGTATTGATAAAACTATATTCTTTAATTATCCGACTAATCCCCACCTAGGCGCCCACGTAGCCATCTAGGCGCTAGGCTGAGGCCCGACTAGCGCTTAGCACTATTTAGAACACTGTTAATAACTAAGATAAGATGGAAAACAAGGAACTATGTCCACACTAAAAACAAGTAGTAAATCCTGAACTACATGCAAGGTTGAATGAGAGGAACAGGGGATAAAGAACTCTGGTTCACCAAGATATCAAATTCTAACCAGCGGAATCTCAAACAGCGAAATCTGCTTAGTTCAAATGAGAAGCAGCTAGATACACAAGACAAGGATGATCCACTGGGAATACAAAATAACCAAAATTCATTTTCAAACCCAAAAATGTCTTCGGAAACCCACATCGAACCAGCGTCTCCTGGAATCCTACATGCAAGACCTGCACATACCTGCAAAGATTCAATTATATGACAATGTCTTACCATTATCATCTTACGGGTGTAGTATTGACCAATCCATTTAGAAATAGAAGAGGATGAGCTTTTTTTGGCATGTGATTTGAGTAGTAAGAAGCCTAATCCCTACTGCATAGTATCATCATCCTTCCCTGGTCCTGCCGCCGCCTTGCGCTTTGCTTCGACTTGTTCATCAGTCAATGGCAGGTAGTAAATACGAGGTGTTGCTTTCGTCTTCCTAAAAAGATCGTCCAATGTCACACTTGGGGGAGGCTCAACTTTCTCAACAAGCGGCGGTGGTGGTGGAAGCGGTGGCAGTTGTTGAACAGGATACCGCTCTTTGCTTGAGGGGTGCTTGAACAATGGTGGGGGTGGTGGTAGAGAAGGTGGTGGTGGGAGAGATAGTGGTAATGGAAGAGATGGTGGTGGTGGAAGAGACTGGGGTGGCAGAGGAGGAGGAGGAGGGAGTGGTTGGAGCTGCTGCTTTTTCTGAATCTGTTGCCTCAAAGGAGGCTGTGCTTGCATGAGTGGTTGCGCAGCAGATAAGGAAGAAGATCCTCCAGTGCATCCAGTGATTACTGTTGGAGTTACCGAAGGTTTAGGTGGGCCTTCCACGTGCACTATAACTTCAAGAGGGTCTACAAACTCAGCTACAAGATGGCGACCACCATTTGTAGGCCACTGCAAGTCGTACAAAGCATTTCTAGTAGCATTCGCTTCTTCAACAGATGAATACTGCATGTACAACAGCACAATACAGATTAAACACTTCACTGGTTTCATCTTCAAGGAAATTATAATAACTGTAACTGCTTACCAATCCTGAACAACACATACGTAGTCTAAGATTTCTCATAATTCCAAAACCATGCCCTATGTCATCGATGCACGACCTCCATTCAAAAAAAATCTTGTTTGGCCAATATGGGGCTTTTAAATTTTGGTAATGTATACATACTTGTCACGGCGGTAAGTCGAGTCGCGGCGCCACCTGACCGCCATATCGCCTAGGCGACAAGGCGCCCGCCTAGGCGACAACTAGGCGACTAGTCGCCTTTATGTGTATATTATATATTTGTATTATATATATAATTATATATACTACAGTAGTTTGTATTATTAGTTTATTAGTTTATATAAGTTCTAACATATAACAGAATAAATTAAACTAATGAATCCTTTCAGAAAAGGATGACTCAGCAATTCAGGTAGGACACATGGATAATGGATATGCGCATAAAACATAGACTACGTATATAACTACACAATTAATAATACGTACGTAGTATATAACTATATAATTAATAATATATAACTATACAATTAATAAAAAATCTTAAAAACCATAAGCCACTAGTCCGCTACACACTTAGGATGAGAAGACACTTAGGCGACGAGAAGAGAGCAGAACCTTGGGAAGTCGTCTTCTTCCTAGAGGCTGAAGTTGTTTAGTTACTGCGGTTCATCTCATCGCCTGCTTCTGGAGCAGACTTGTGTCGCCATGGCGATTGGTGACTTAATTCGAAAGTATATTAGATTTATAGATTATTTTGGGGCTTTGGGCTTTATTGTTAATTAAAAGCCTAAATCTTAATTAAGAAATTAAAGCCTAAATCTTTCTGGGCCTCGGGACTTCGGGTTCGACATGTAAAATGGCGCAGGCTTGTCGCCAAAATCGCGCCTAGACGACGTCTGGGCGACGCCAAGTGCGACCTCTTTTCTTCTGGCGAGGCGAGGTACTGGGGCGAGCACTCTCCAGCGCCTGGACGCCTAGTCGGCGACTAGGCGACGCCTAGGCGACGCCGTGACAACCCTGAATGTATATTTGTCATAAATTATATATCATGCTTGTACTTTTAAAGTTTATTTGTCCGACAAAACAAAGTTATCAGTGCTTATGCCTTTTTTTTACAAACAACATGAAATTTTGTAGATCTGTTTTATCAAAGCTGACTCTTTATTTGGGACAAAAGAAGGGATTGGGACAAGATTCTTGGTTGAGGGAGTATTTTATATTACAAAAAATAGAAGAGATGTGAGAACTAGATTCGCTTACCGACACATAGCAGTGAGTTTTTATGCTGTCCATCCAGAAATTTGTAACAGTACCACTTTTACCAAGTAGGTCTTGCACAGCTTTCAGGGTAAAAGGCCGCACGAAACGATCAATTCTGAGAGAATTCGTAGCAGGTTTTGGCGATGGTGGAACTGTCATAAGTAACAATGTATCAGAAGGTTCGATGCAAAAAAAAATAACACCACTTCAAGGGATGGTTACTACAGTACCGAATATCAAAGAAGGATACTTACCCACACGTTCCTTAGTTGGTTCTTCACTAGCCATTGATTTAGGCATAGATGAACTGCGGGTGAAAGCAGTCTGAAATGCATTTTTAGGTGTAGTAGAAGCAATAGTGGTTCCACTCAGATTCTGTGGGATTTCAATACTTTCTGAGTTCCACCTCCGCTGCCTCTTGGCAGCAACTTTGCCAACAACTGCTTCATCACCTGCTGCGCACCACTATATTACTTTAACATCTTCACACAGGAGAATAATATCTTTATGCAACACATCTGTAGACAAATTACAAGTCTACTTGTAAAAAAAATGTTTTCGATGCAATAGATCTCCATGGTCTTTAGAGAAGTGCAACATCAGAAGTATCCAAGAAAAGATTAAATTGGTGTTACAAAAACTCCTTAGTGCTCAACCGTGGTGCATTTGGAAGTATTAAATCTAATTGACTGGCTTTTATGTAGAGGCATTAAAACGAAAAAACACTGTAGTCTTGAGAACTCATAGGTTCTTGGGCTTGGAGCTTCTTGGAAAAGCGGGCTTCCAACATATATTAGTATCCAGCCTTTAAAGTCCAATGTAAATGTGGAGCATCAACACAGAGCAGATAAGCTCATAACTGGACTGGGGACAAACAAGAACCTAATCCTAAAAACATTAGGATGAATAAGAAACCTGATTCAGAACTTTTTTAAATAAACAGGAGAGCGCCTGTTGCCTGGGCGCTTAAGCGCACCAGGCGAGGCGCTGATGAACCCTAGGTGACTGAACATATGCTAGGTGCAGCTTCCTGTCTCAAGTGCAGGTCTGACAACGAAGCGCAGAAGCGCTGATGCGAGATAAAATGCTCGCTTTAATGGCCAAAAGGGGGAAACACGTTTCACCCTATTTTTTTATGTTTAAGACTATTTCAAATAACAAGGCCATATTTTAATAAGACAAATCCCAACCAAACAAAAGGTTAAAACAACCAACGTTAAACTGTATAAGTCTGCTCTGCTCTACTCACGTTACTTCTCAGCTATGAAAGCAGCACTCAACGATCAACCAAGTTTTCTTCTTCATTGTTCCAGCTTTCTTTCTTCTTTCTTCTTTCTTCTTCATTATTGATTAATATTACCTCCGTCCCAAATTGATTTGCAAATTATCTTTTCTTGGTCAAACGCTCAAACAGTTTTATTTTATTCACTTAATTAGGATGTCAAATTTTAATTATATTCTAATTTGTAGTTTGCAACTTTGAAGAGATTTAAATGTAGTTTCTGAAAATGTATATTGTAATGATTAAAAACTAAATTAATTGTCAATAAGAAGGATTTAACTTTAACTTTGGTTGACCAAAAAATATTGACTTTGCAAATCAATTTGGGACGGGGGGAGTATAATGTTATGGAAGTTATAAATTTTATACTTTTATTTAAGTATTTTTAACGAAGAACATTTTCATATAAATTTTATATTGTAAATAATTTTCTAGAAAAAATATACTCCCTCCGTCCCTCAATTAAGTTCCCACTTTTCATTTCGGGATGTCCCAAAATAAAGTTCCCACTTCATTTTATTTCCATTTTTGGCAAGTTTTATGAGTAAAACTACTCTTTTGCCCCCTCCACTAAAATACCCCGTAACCCATGTTTCAACCTTATTTGAACACCCTCTCTCCTCTGCTACCATTCTTTTTTGTCTCTCCCCTGCTACCATTCTTTTCTATCTCCCCAAATCTCCTCATCTCCAACCTTTCTCTCCCTCTGTAGCCTCTCTTTCCCGCTACATGCGTCAATGCATCTTCACTGCAAATGAATTCGATCTCAGAGGATTACATCGCTGTTACAGTTTGATGTCGTGGATTTTTTTGCTTGACGAGATTTGAATTGAAATAGAGGAAGTGTGGTGCTAAGGAGAACTACCGGTGAAGGGTTATTCGGCGATGGGGGGATGATGGGTGGCATCGTGGCAGCGGCAACTGTGTCTAGGGGGTTTCCGGCCTCTCAAACTGAGTCGCTAAATTCGGGGGAGGATATACGCGAGGAGGGTTTCCGGTGAAGGTGAGGAGTTGCACTATCTCACCACCAATATTCGATAAGGGTTTCTGACAATTTGCTATCCCTCTAGCTTAAGATTTTACGGTGTACTCTTCTACCAGGGACCTCTGGTTGAGTTGATGCTCTCCGGCGGCTGCTAATCTCCTTTTGTTATAACCAAGGACATAATAGGAAAGTCAACCTAATTATTTATTCTACCTAAAAACTGTGAAGTCAAACTGAGAACTTGATTTGGGGACGGAGGGAGTATAATTGGTCAAAGTTAGAATATATTTGACCAAAATAATCAAAAATGGCAAAGTTTTAAGAGACGGAGGGAGTATTATTTAACATTTTCATTAATGTACACTACATATAATCTAATCATTGAATAGTTTCATATACTATATATAAATATCTGCCTTGGGCATTTATGGGACATGGAAGGTGGAACTTCAGCCATGGGTCCTGAGAATAGTATCTGCCTTGGTAAATCATAAATTTATTTTTTAGAAACACGACTTTTTAAAGCGGTTGGTTGAATATGATGTTATATTTTTTTTGTAATCATATACAATAGTATTACCATGATTTCAATATGATGTTATATACATCATGTTTGATAATTGTAGGTTAGTGTATATAATACTTTCTAAGCAATGCGCCACACAAGAGTCAGGCAAACGCTTTATTGTGCATTACGCCTCAGGCGATAGGAGTACTCTAGCGCCTTGAGTGTGCCTCACGACTTAGACTACCTTGAGGCGTATCATTTTCATAGATCTATTAGAAGCATTGTCAAACATGAAGTGATCAAGATCTAGAAATGAAATTGAGAAACAATCCAGTCCATGATTTAGTAAGTAGAAAAGACAACTTGAAGGGACTACAGAAGCAATGTGTGCTTAACACAGAAACAAAAGCAATAAGACAACAAACTTTTCACTTCATGTACCACAATTAGAAAGTGAACAGTACAGTCAATAGAATATTGCTGAACTTTTCCTAACGCACTAGAACATCAGAATTCAGAAACCAGTTTAGTATAGATAGTCGCAAAAAGAGTGACAGATACTCTGTCTTATTCAGTAAGATACACTATTAGTAGCCAATGGTGGAAATGGTGCGTGCCATGAAACCCATAGGGTCTTCATTACAAAAGAACTCCCGCGACTAGGATACATGTGGTGGCAACACTTATGCGCCATCGCCGCCCCATTTGAACAATAATATTGGACCAATTTTTTACAGATTCATTTAATTACTGTTGGACTTTAGCCATAGTTATCATTTGATCATTCAACCTGCCCCACTATAGATTAAAAAAACTAATTCCCAAACATTGTAAGCCACATAAAAATGGGTATCATAGAATATATGAACTAGAAAAACCGTCAAGTTGCGCAACACTACAGACAACTACTGCCTATGTCAAAAAGCTGTGGAACATCACAGACAACACTATACAAAGACTGATAATTGATGATGATAAGACATGTTTTGGAAGACTTGAATCCTTTTTTGTTATTAAGTTTTTTAGGGAACTATTTTAATTTGCCTAAGAGCGTTTGGTTAGAATTTGGTTATTGAACTCTTTTGCTCATTTATTGGTGGCTGATTCATAAGTTTACATTGTCTCTATAGTTAATATTTATACTTAGTTATTCTTAGTGTCATATGGTAATGTCATTAATGCGCCATGGCAAAGTTCCTTGATGCCATGACTGTCAACATACACCATGACAATTATGGATACACTTTCCTTACCTAGTCCACACACAAAAATGAACACTTCCAAAATTTGAACTTTAAAAAAAATACTACTTTGTTTGTCTATCATAATTTCACCTTTAACTTTTTGTGAACACATAACACTTTCATTGAGAAGTTTAGATAAAGCAACAACCATCTGCATTATTTATTAAAACTCGTACCAAACTATAATGTATCTTACTTTACGGGATAGAGGGAGGCTATATAAGAAGTTAAGAAGGCAATACAACATATTTTCATAAATGAGCAAACAAAGGACATAATAAACAAAGGAATCAATTACCATGGGCTTTCCTTTTTTCAGATAGCACAGCTTGTTCACTTTTGTTTGCGACAGAAACGTCCTTGTTGTATGCAGTTACATGATTCCTGGCAACATCTGGACCTGAAACCTGTCCTGTTGTTTGCACTGTATATTCACTTTTCTCGGTCCCTGACTTGGGATCAATATGTTTATTCTCAGATGCATTTTCCACCATGGGATCATCACCAGACTTCTTCCTTAAATTTAATGTTTTGATTGCGCCTAGATCTTTCAGACCATTTATGTTATCCATGCTCCCTTGCTCCATAGACAAATTAGTGTCTTGCAGCTCTTCAACATCCATTGGACAAGAATCACTGCCAGGAACAACATTGCTAAATGATAGATGCACCACCTCTGGATTAGCATCCACTTCTAGTTTGACATCACTACTTACATTATTCATTGTTTCAACTTTTCCAGTAATTGAGATATCAGTACAAACAGAATCAGTGTTTACATAAAACTCCGAAACAGGGCTTACCTCAGATACCCCAACTTCAGCATCCACATCAGGAGACCTTGAACCAGGATATTGGAGCATCTTTTTCGAATTCCCTTCACCCTGGGTTCCTTGATTTTCCAAATCATCTTCATCAGAAGCCATCACGGATTCCACAGCCTCACCAACCACAACAGCAGTTCTCACATTATTAACTAGTTCAACTTCTACACCAATTGAATCAAATGTTTCTCCTCCAGCACCTTTACTGGCAACAGAAGCATCATTCTCCTTATTAGTATGAAATAATTGAGTCCCTTTGTGTCCAGATGCAACCATAGACTCGTTACCACCCTCAGATGGCATTATGTTGTAATCACCTTTGCATACTTCACTTTCCAATTTATCACTTACTGGATCACATGCAACAGAAGCATCCTCCATATTAGCATCACATACATAGGCCATTTCTTGTCCAGATTTGACTATAGAACCATTACCACCATCAGATGGTATTCTATTGTCAGTATCATCAATTTTACATCCTTCATTTTCTATTTTATGATTTTTATCATCTACCGGATCACAATTGATAGAAGCATCTTTCTCCTTGTCACCATCAAGTAACTGACTACTTTCAGGTCCAGATTCAATTGTAGATGCAAGTGCAAAAGTAGATTGTGCTATGTTTCCACCAACAGCAACTTCACACTCTTCACTTTCCAATTTATGACCTATTGAATCACATGTGATGCTAGCGCCTTGTTCCTTGCTAGCATCAAAGCAAATAGCCCTTTCTTGTCCAGACTCAACAGAAGAGTCATGGGCAGAGACAGATGGTACTATGTTGCCATCTACTTCAACTTTACTCGCTTCACTTCCCAGATTGTCACCTACCGTATTACAAGCATCCTTGTCCTTGGCAGCAACAAATGAATCAGTCACTTCTTGTCCAGATTCAAATGTAGGATCATGTGCAGACTCAGAGCTAACACCAGTATTTCCTTGTGTGCTTTCTTGTTCACTGCGAATTGCTTCATCCAACCGCTTCACCAACTCATCCTTCAACCCTTTTGTTGTTAACTTGCGCCTCTTAAGCTCTTCCCTTAGCTCTGTGACTTTCCACTGATCAATTGGTCTACTATCCAAAATAGGATGTGGAGACGACATTTGTTTGTTCAAAACCTGCAGTTAGAGCTGAAACCTTATCCTTAAATACACAAGAAGGAAGTAAGACATTATGAAACTAGCAACCCAGAAAAAATGATGAGATATTGAAGTGATTTTTAAACAAAGTACCATTGACCAGGTTTAGTGGAGTTACAAACGGTATGATAGCACATTTAGAAGCAAAATGTTGGGAATAAATGTCTAAGGCATCGTTTGTTTTATGGCGGATTGGTACCCACCCGCTGCAAAAAGCAGCGTTTCTAAGTATAAAACAATAGCGGTTTCGGTAAATCACTGCTTTCCAAACGGAGCCTAAATCTCCAAGAGTAACAACTCCGCTTAAAAATTAAATAGTTTGATACGAGGATAAATTGTAGTTCTCACCCGTCTTGTCAGCATGAGTAGCACAACATAGAACATAGAAAATTTACAAAGAACTAAGGTGTTAGGTCCCTCTAGATTTTGATGATGCACATCTATATTTGACTTTAAGCACTTTGATTGTAAAACTTTGAAAAGGCGAAAAGATTTAAAAGTCTATTCACCCCCTCTAAACTTTTACCTCACTAGGGACCATCATAAGGTATTATACTTAAATTAATCTTTTCCAGAAAGACCAAACAATAAAAATCATCTAAGTGCCTAATACTGTACAAAAATCACACCAACAATTCAGAATCTTGGCATAAAACTTTCCTATGGCTAAGCAATGAATGAACCTACAAAATATGCAGGTTCCTTAATGTTAAAAATAGAATTTTAAAATCAAAACAGTTTAGTGTAATAGATACTCCTAATGATTAAAATTACTGAAAATACATATTTTAGAAAGAAAAAAAATACGCAGCCAAATTAGTTTGGTTATCAACAAAAATGTTTAATAATGAAGCAAAGCAGAAACTTATATGGGACGTGAAAAAATATTGTATGTACTACTATGTAGAGCTGCGGCTTTACACACACACTTTCAAAAATATTCAAGGTTAATAGATAATAACATCTACTGGTTGTGTATAGTTTCATATTTGGAATCATTGATGATAAAAGAATCTACTAAATGTATTTCATATCTGGATAGATGGAACAAAACATAACTTTTGTGTGAGCATTTTGATTGGGTTGGAAAGTTGAAGCAGCGAAGACTGGAGATTGAGCGTCTAAGACGAAATACCTGGATATATGGAAGAACTGTGGGTTGTCGAACGGGAGGCCAGAGGCAATGAAACCTTTACTGATACCCAAGCTTAGAGTAGTGATTTTCGCGCAATGCTTAAATGGCTCTAATCACATACATCAGTTTCCACAGTTAGATGAAACCTGTGGACAAACCAAAGCCTGGCTTCACCATAACACAAACACAATTATCAGAAGAATTAAGGAAAATCAAATTAAATGAAAACAAGGTTGAAAACGAAAAATCTAGCAAATGGAACGTGAAAGCAAAAAACAGCGGTCCGGCTAGGGTTTTGTGGCGAGTGCGTCTCAACGGTTGAACGCATCAGTAGTGTTCACTACATGGAAATGATGACAGCATCGGGGATTTCAGCCTCAAGTGAATCTTGTGTAATTCCAAATACACCCTTGCTATTCTCATCCTTGTGATAAGGGAAAGTTCCCGAAATGGGACTAAAAAAGTTTGAAAATTCCAAAATAGGACTGTCATGTTTTTATTCCCAAAATAGGACTAATTACTGCCAAATTTGGAAAATACTGTCATGTTTGAAGTCTGGTACTGCCAAAACATGACAGTAATTAGTCCTATTTTGGGAATAAAAACATGGAAGTCCTATTTTGGAATTTCAAAACTTTTTTAGTCCCATTTTGAGTAATATCTCTTGTGGATAATAGAAATTGACATCCGTAATTTTACTTCTATATCTATACATTAAATAAATAAAAATAATTCATACTTTAAAAAGACAACAATAATCTTAACTAGTTACTCATTTACAAAAATAAATCGACAATAATGTTATAAAAATAATGTTAACGGTGTTAAATTTTCCATTATTTTTGTATTTTAAATATATTTAGTCAAATATATATATAAACATCGACAATACTTTTGTTTGCTCCTGGTGAGTTGTCATAATCTCTAGCGGTTTTGTGGTGGGGACCAGAGAACATCCCAGCGGTTTTGTTAAAACGAAGAAGTACTAAACATTGACAATATTATATTGGGGTTTTTCCTTAAATATTACTAATAAAAATGTTATGAACAAAAATATGACATAATATCACTATTAACGATTATAATTTTGTTCAAAGTTTACATCATAGTAACCTACATAGAAATATTACGATGTAAACTTTAAACACAATTATAGTCACTAATATTTACTAAAACAACATTATATTTGTCCATTACATTTTAAAGATTAACATTTATGGAATTAGTTCTATTATATTTGAGTTTAATCTTGTTTCTATGAAGAAATTAATTTAACATACAATGTTGATGGAGTATATGGCCCAGGAACCCCCGACTCACAGACTCCTACTACTCTGTCACAGGCCCAAAATGTTGCGGCCCAAGCTCAAGGAGGCCCGCGGTGCACACACGGGTGCCTTCGCCAATGTGGCCGAAGGCTCCAAAACTCACAGAACAGACATATTTGAGCATACGAAGCTACTGGGAGAAAATGGCAGAAAACAGGAGCCTTCGGCACTGTTGAGCCCTCGGCATCAGGGAAGCCTTCGGCTGAACCAAGCCTTCGGTTACACAGGGCCTCCGGCCACACGAAGCCCTCGGCTGCATGAAGAGCCTTCGGCTAAACAGACTCGATCGTCGAAGATTCCCTTTGGAGACAGCCAACCACCGCATTTAATGCGACGTCACTTCAACCCACCGCATTTAATGCGGTGAACATGCGATTGTCGGTGCCACCCCGATTGAGGTGAGTCCTCGACCGTTAGATTATCGCCACGTGTACTCTCATCGCATTTATTACTACTATAAATAGCACCCCCTTTCCCCATTGTAAAGGACCATAACATCTCGAGTTCATTAATATAATCGCCTCTCTCTCCTACTTGTTTGCTCTAACTTCTCTCTAGGTTATTCCCGCAATAACCCCTCGGATAAACTACCCCCGGGTACACTGTCCATCATTTGGTGCTCTCGTTAAGGGGTCCGAACAATCAAGTAAGAAACTCTTCCCTTCGCCAAACACAAAAACACCTATCAAAATGGGAAGAACTCGTGGTCAATCTAGAACCCTCGAGGAAAACCACGTAGCCCCCGGCGAAACCGACGGGGCCGAAGCCTCTAACAGACTCTTGGTACCCGAGGGCGGTACTATCGCCGAAATAGAGCAAGCCACCGCTGACCTCCGTCAGCAGCTCCAGAAGGCTGCCCCTGATGCCCGCATAGGGCTTGATAATCGAAGGAGGGATCGGAGTGAGAACCAAGTTCCCCCTCCGGCCCCGGCCATCGATCTTCAGGCTGCCTTTGCGGCCTTTGTCCAAAACATGGCTCTCAATTCTGGAGCCTTCGTCACTCAGGCACCACTCCAACCCTACTTTGGGGGAAACGCCGCTTGTCTGCCGCCCTCTCTTCTGTTCAACAATCCCGTAATACGGATTGGCAACGCCGAAGGGGTCGTAGCACAAGACACCGCCTCCCAAGAGGTTCAATCCAAGGATAAACATCACAAGGAGAAACCCCGAACCTCTGCCCTCGAAAGATTGGGCCAAACTATAGAGCGCCGAGGGGTCCAAGACCGCCTCGGTGGGAAGGCGACCAGCAAACCACAAGAAAGCGGAGGCTCCGTCTCGGGGGCCGAGGAGAGAACTCCCCCTCGGGACAAAGGCAAGCGCCCCCTCCATGCCGACGACGCCAGGCACCAAATCAATCAGGCTCAGCCCTTCCGGGCCAACTCCCAAGGGGTTGCCCCGAAGGATCCCAAAGACGAAATAATCGAGGCCCTCCTCCGTCAGCTCGAGGAGACGCGTCAGGCGCCCCCGACGGCTTCCACGCCGGGACCAGATCCGGAGTACGCCGCCCTCCGGGCGCAAGTAGAGGAGATGATGCGCAAATTCGCCGAGGGCTCGGACGAACCCCTCATTCAGCTCCGCACAAGGACGCCTTTCACCCCAAGGGTGCTGACGGCTAAGATCCCCAACAAATATCGGGGACATCCCATCAAACCTTATGAGGGGAAGACGGGTCCCCAAGAACACTACAACAGGTATCAAAACAGTATGATGATGATGGGTGCATCAGATGAATATTTATGTTGTTGGTTCCTTTCCACCTTGGAGGGGCCAACGTATGAATGGTTCAATCGATTGCCCGACCGAAGGCAGCATCGATTTGTGGCAGGAACTCGCCCACCGCTTCCTCACACAATTCGCCGGGAGGCACCGATCGAAAAAAGCATTTCTCTCACCTTCTGAATGTAAGGCAACAGAAGGAGGAAACCCTTCGGAGTTTCCTGGAACACTGGAGGCAGGCCTCCCTCGAGGTCGAAGGCGCCGATGACAGAACACTGATGGCCCTCTTCCACACCATCCTCCGCAATGGCAATTTCTCCAGGAGCCTTATTACTGATCCCCCCGCGATTATACAAAAGCCCTTCAGCGGGGGGACAGATACGCCGAGGCCGAAGAGATTGAGAAAGATCGTCGTAATCTGGTGCCTTCACATAAGAATGATAGCAGAAATCGCCCCGTGGGGCCACTTCCCCCCCCCCCCCCCCCCCCCGGCAAACCGCGAGGTACAATACAACGAACGCCCTCGAGGTGGCCAAGCCAGACCCGGGGGCGGTTACAAGAACAACTCGAAGGCATGGGCGCAACCCGTCCTCCTGGAGCACCCGCGCACTCCCCTGACACATCCCATCAGCACTATTCTAGATTATGCAGAAGAGCGAGGCCTCGTGGAGCGAGACTTCCGCGCATCCCTCGAAATATATGCCATCAGTCCTGACGAGCCTAATTGCCGTTTCCACCGCCATCATGGGCACAAGACTGATGACTGCCATCAGTTAAAAACGGCCATCGAGAGGTTGATACAAGCGGGCCATTTGTCTCAATTCGTCAGGGGCCCTCCTCTTCAGGGCCCCCCCATCACCAGGCCCCCCCGCCAAAGGCAAACAAGTGGGTTAACCCAAACACCATCCCCTTGGGAAATCCACAAGGGTGGAAGCGCGAGATTGGGAACCTTAGTGAGGAGGAGGATCCCCAACACCAATACAAGCGCCACATTCACATGATCAATGGTGGCAACACCGGGGGCGACTCCACGAGCCAGAGAAAGAAATGGGCTCAATCCCTTTACATCGGGGAAGTCAACCATATGCCCCCGACCAAGAGGCCGAGGGCGGATCCTATTTGTTTCACAGATGCGGATCTGCCTGCAGGATCCCTTCCTCACAGGGATGCCCTCATCATCCGTACTGAGATCAATAACGCCGTCATCCTCCGCACTTATGTTGACACCGGAAGCCCCGTCAACGTAATGTACCTCAGTACCTTCCGGGAGTTGGAACTAGACAGGGGAACCTTCGGCACATCAACACCCCCCTCCCCGGTTTCACGGGGGATAGCATAGACGCCGAAGGTGTCATCACCCTTATGGTTGAATTCAGCGACGGATCCCATAGAGCCAAGCTCGAAGTGGAATTCGTCGTCGTCAACCTCGACTGCGCACATAACATCATCCTTGGCCGGCCTGCCCTCGAGGATTTGGAAGCCGTCATCTCCATGAAGCACCTCTGCCTCAAATATCCCACACCCACTGGCGTCGGTTACTCGAGGGGGAATCAGAAGCTCTCCAGGGCATGCTACCTTCAGCTCACCAGGAAGGTTAATAAAACCGAAGTCCGAATTGATACAATCACCACCAATGCCCTGGAAGAGGAGGAAGGCAGGCCGAGGGCTGAGCCTGCCGAGGACACCGAAGACTTTGTGCTCGATTCGGCCAAGCCGGAGAGAGTCTTGAAGATTGGAGCCAAGCTCCCCGAAGACCTGAAGACCGGCATCACTGAAGCCCTCCGCACCTACTCCATTGTTTTTGCATGGGGGCCGGAGGACATGCCGGGGATCGACCGAAGGGTCATCACTCACCGTCTTGCGGTGGACCCTTCGGCCAAACCAGTACAACAAAGAAGGAGGCCCCTCTCGGCCGATAGAAGGGACTTTGTCAAGAAAGAGGTCACCATGCTCCTCTCCATCAAACATATCAGGGAGGTGAAATATCCCTCGTGGTTGGCTAATGTGGTACTAGCACAGAAGCCACCCACCTTCCGCATGTGTGTGGACTACATGGACTTCAATAGGCATGGCAATGGGTCGGGGCGGGGCGGGTATTGCAAGACCCGGACCCGCCCCGTGACTTGGCGGGGCGGGTCCGCCCCGCCCCGTGACCTGCACGGGTCCGAACTTGTTGACCCATGACCCGCCCCATGCGGGGCGGGGCGGGTCCGATAATTTTCTAAGTCTAATTCATTTTAGCCCCCGATAATTTCATGGACAAAGGCAAAGACATACGTCAAACAAGGATGGCCGAGAACATGGAAGTTACTTGGTCTCA